GTGATCCTTACAACCAGGACGAATTGTTTCACAGTCCACTATAAAGCACTGGTGGATAAAGCTTCAGGAAGAACTTGTTGAGGAGCTTGATCATTTGTATTTTAGGAGAACTTAAACATCAACAAACACACACAAGCCTTTGTAAAGATGCTCTAACTTATACTATTGTTTATTTAATCCGAGGAAGAGACTCAAACCTTAAAATGGCCCTTAATCCATTCCAGGCACCTACAATTACATTACATTACATTACAGGTCATTTAGCAGACGCTTTTATCCAAAGCGACTTACATTACACTTTAAACCCATGGCTTTTTTTCACATTTTCGCCCGGGGAGCAATTAGGGGTTAGGTGTCTTGCTCGGGGACACTTCGACATGGAACATGGGGCAGCCTGGAATCGAAACAACAACCGCGTGCTTCCCAGCGCACCTTCTCTAACCCCTGCGCCACGACGATCAATTCTATCTGGGAGAACTTAAAACATAAAAAAACACACACAAGCCTTTGTAAAGATGCTCTAACGTATAGTATTGTTTATTTAGTCAGAGGAAGCGAGTCAAACCTTAAAATGGCCCATTAATCCATTCCAGGTACCTACGATAAATCAGGGTTGTGTAATGGAAATACCAGGTGTCTGTAATGAACATGTATCTTTTAATAATGAAACACAAGGACACATTCATGAGCCTTTATTAAATATGTCAACTTTTCAGACAAAGAAGCTTTAAATGTATTGGTCATACGACATATACAATTTTAAAAAAGCAATAAATCTTATTGTTACAAATTGTTTATCTGTCACTAATTGTTGTGTCCTGGTGTTTTACCGTTAGTTTGGGGTAATAATTGTTGTACAATGTTATAACCATTACTCCATCTCAATACACGTAGGTCAAAGAGCTCCGACGGCTGGGACGATTCAGCTACCTTTCAGACTACCCTGGCAACGTGTTTTTTCCACAGCACATAGAAAAAAATCTAGCCATTTAAAAATATATATTTGGCACCTTTGAGCAACTTTTGTAAAGTGACTCGAATGCTAAATTGCACCCATTTTCCCTTCAAATGACACAAACACAATATGTGCTTGGCTGCAAAAGTGCATTGTGCGTGACTTGAACAGCAGGCGCTCAGCTCGTGCACAACAGCCTGGAGACAGCTGGAAAGAGATGCCTAGTGCACACATCATCATCATTATTTGAGTTAAGTTGCTTGTTGAATAAAATAGCATATATCTTATTAGCGTGTGCCTATAATTGTTGATCAGTTTGGTATCATGTTGACGAACTACCAATAATACTATAATTGTTAAAAATGTGTAGGTTTACTAGTTGATAAGAAAATAAATGTTTATTTTATGCCGAGATGGAGATGGAAAAATTAGTAATAATTATATTATATTTGTGTGTATATATGACAAAACCTCAACAAAAAGAGTGTTGTCTTGTCATGTCTTGAGTCCTTATGACTTTCTACACTTATACAACATATACTAATAACGTTGTAGAGACCCTGTTTGCCTCTCAAAGTTAGGTCCTCTTGGTTGGTGTTTTGAGTTTGTTTTGACGTGTTTAAATACTCCTCGAGACGTTTCCACTTCTTTGATTGTCCTTTATTTTGTTCTTTAATGACACCATCCAATTATCTTCGTACATGCCTCTTCCACCCAGTCACGTTCACTCTGTCACGCTCACGCTCCTCGCTCTCATTCCACGCTTCTCCTTCCACGCTCCACGTCCGCACTTCACGCTCACCCTCACGGTCAAAAAACTATTTTGCTTCTCACCAACACCTGTGACCCATTTTTCTAGACTAGCATCAAAAGCTACGCAAGCCTCTCGCAGCTCGCAAGGCTGTAATTGGTAAGTATTTTCTAGCAGTATTAGAGGCTCAAACCATCTCATAAAAACTATAACCTTTACATACATTCATCATTCCTGAATTTATGATTATGACAGTTATGAATGTCTTATGGGATCATTGGACTAAGGAGGATTTGAAGAGATCTCACATAGCTTTTTGAGTGTTGATTATTTGGACTACAATTGTTCACATTTTAAGGTGCTGGATATTATTAATAGAGTATCAGCTTTCCCCTGATAATAAACCAGCTCCAAACACCCAGCCTAGTAATGGAAGTGGAATATAGAAATGCTCCTCTGCCATATTCCTGTAGACGCTGCGCTCTGTAACTGCATTGACTTCACCCAAAGAAGTGGGTCTTGGGTCTGGACTTAAGGGAACCTTTCCCAGAGCCCCCCGACTCCTCTGGCTCACGAAACGACATCCTGTGGACAATCTGCGATGTCCTCAAGCGCAGCCTGTGCAGTTCGGGCTTCATCCTGCTGAGGGAGGACTTCCTCCTGAGGACCTTCTGTGAGGGTCGGGCCTCCCCGTCCACAGAGTCACCTTCGTCGTTGGGGTTGAAGAGTCGGAGGGGCCTCAGGTTGGACTGGAGAGCCTTGGAGAACCTCCAACGGCCTCCGGCCCCGCGGCACGCGTCCTCCGGGTCAGAGCGCTCGTATGCTCCGATTATGTCCTGGATATCCACGCTCACACTGTCAGTGAGATACTGGCAGGCCTTCCTCCCGCTGTAGTCTCTGACCTCCACGTCTGCGCTGTAGGCCCCCACCAGGAGCTTCACCACCTCCATGTGGTTGTGCATGGCAGCGACGTGCAGAGGCGTGTAACCGGCGTTGGACCGAGCGTCCACGCTGACGGGGGTGTCGTTCTGTTTGGCAAAATTGAAGATCAGCGCCATCAGCTCGGGGTTGCCTCGCTTGGCCGCCCAGTGCAAGCAGGTGAACCCGGTGACGAAGTCCTTCCTCAGGATCAGACTGGGCTCCGTGGTGAGGAGGGGGTGCATGCTGCCCCACTCCCCGTCCAAGGCACACATCATCCACTCGTGTTCCAGCGGGTCCAGAGCCACCGGGGTCCTGTCGTCCGGGCAGGAGGAGACCAGGGAGGCCGAGTCGCTGTCGGTCCTGGATGACAAGTACACCGAGCCTTTGGTCACCGTGCTCCTCCTCGGCTGGGGGGACCTGTTCATCATGGCCTCCATGAAGTGTTTACGGCTGCCTTTGGGGCTGCAGAGTCCTTCGCTCCCAGAGAGGCTACATGTGTCCGACTGCCCTTCATCGCCATCCTCCTCCTCCTCATCATCATCAGACTCCAGCTGTCTGGAGGGAGCTCTGCTCCTGGCCACCACGTTACCGTGTTCTCCTTCTTCCAGGACTTCTGGGGAGAGCGCCTCGGCCTCCCCCAGCCTGTCTCCGGGTTTGAGTCCCACACCACCTGTGGGAACTGGTCCTGTAGTACCGGTTTGCACAGGCCCCGGCATGTTGAACGAAGATCCCTCTGCAGGAAGAGGCGAAGCATTAGTCACAGATATTTCTGGTATTTCAGGCCCATGTCCGACCTGCTTCTTCTTGGACTCTCTCTTGTCTCTTTTAAAGCTGTCTCCGTTTCCCATCTCCGCTTCTTCCACTGAACAGACCAGCTGAGGACCCTCGCTCGAGTCGGCTTCCCCCGCAGAAGTGGATGCGGTGGTGAGATCAGCATCAACTCTCACCTGGCCGCTACTTCCGTAACTTGAGTCAGGTGGTTGCGCCTCACCTGCCGCGTCACTCCTGCCGTCTGAAGCGTGCGGATAACGGGGAAGGAGGTCCTCCGGATCGAGCCTCTCTGAACCGCGGAATCTTTTCTTCAGGCAGACATATTTGACTTCGCCCTCAGTCTTTACGAAAGCAACGTGGTCCACGTAGCTTTTAAAAGTCTTACGGACAGCAGCTCTCTCCTGCGACTCCCCCGGGAACACGAACTTAAAATGCTCTATTAGATCCGCGTTGGTCGCTTTGCCCCCTTTCCCCTGCAGAAAAACAAGAACGGCCTCTTGAGTGCAGTCGGACGCCATTGTAAACATTTAATCAATAATAATCCAATACCCGTTGAAGCCACTGAACAACTTGTACAGTCCCATACCAAAAAACCCGAGGAACTATCACGTGTCGTAGCAGAGCCGTGTGACCCAGAGCTTCTCCTTGCGTTGTATTCTAGCGTTCTCCGCCTCCTAGCAACCGAGTGCAGGAAACGGACTGTACCAACCTTCGGACTGTACCATCTGTTCCGCGGGGGGTTCATGGTTAAAAAAACGTTAAATACATTGTTTGTGCTGCTTTGGGGTGTTAAACACTTTCATTATGTCCACTGAAATGAAAACATTTAAACGAGATAATGTTTGAAATGATAATAAAAAAAATCAACATTTTTGTTTAGTCTTGTCTATATAAAGTATACCAGTTCTTTATCACGTGACGCCGCCTGTTCGTTAACAGATTAAATTAATTATCAAAAAGTGGACATGTGCTTATGTATAGTTATGAATAGTAGTTATGCAAATATTTTATTTTGAGTGTGTAATGGTTGAAGAGTATGTAATCAGAAACACAAACTGGTTGCCAGGTCACACAACAGGACTGAACAAGTCAGCCACGTGGATTTCCAGTCAAAAGTTTCGACACTTTTCTCTGAAAGTGTCTGAATGAGAAAACGTGTCCAAACTATACTTCTGTATTTTATGTGTCACTGGCATTTCATGCGAAGCAGCAGCAGACTTTGGGGAAAAGTGGCCCGGGGGTTACTGTAACATCAGCCCACTCCATCGATTAACGAGTAATCAATTTAGAAAACTCAATTTTTTACACTTTTTTAAACACAAAACTACACTTTTAAACATCTCCAAAGCAGAATTTCACCAGGTCAAACATGTTGAACTAGACACACTCTTCCTGCTGTGTGCAGTTTGCTGTGCTGTCAACTCTCCATCAATCTCCCGAGATTTAGCCGGGACGTTTTCCAAACCACTGTCTTTTAGCGCCACACTGGAGTTCCTCTGCAGATGGTGTACTGCGCAGGGTAGATGTTCAGATGGAAGTAGCCCAGCACCTAATAACATGTTTCGGGCCCTATCAGTGCCTAAAGTGGTCCGTTTGACGCTCGTCCCCCTTGTTTGACACATTGAGGAGGTCCTATGCACAGTTCTTGCGCCTTGGTTTGTTTTACTTCCAATGCAAAAATCTCTCTCTGCCTTGATCTCCCTGATCTGACTGCAGGCACGAGGCAGTTGTGTGCCAGAAGTTAACGCACACCAGAAGTAAATAAAAAGCTAAATTAACTGCGTTGAAGTGTTTTATCGCATTAATCTCAGCCACAATAATTATAGCATTGATTAACCCATTCATTTTGACAGCCCTAAAAAATAGCCATACAATTAACATTAGCCTATTTTGGAGTGACGCAGAGTGCGAAAAGTGGTCGGTTCCTTTGTCTGAACGGCAGGTTGGTTGGTCGGTGGTAATTTGTCGTAGTCTGTGGTAGGATCCTTTTTCAGAATGAGTATCTTCGTGACCGTGGGTTTCCCGTACGTGTTTTTTTCTAACTTCATTGACAATCTAGCAGATCACGGGGACTTGCAAGTAGCGCAGCGTCTTAAATAAAGTGATGTATGTGTTGATGCGAGGCTTTAGAAATGAACACAAAGGGATTCTAGATTTGCTCCTAAAGTCTGAAATGGGTCATTTGGCACCTTTCTATGATGTTATAAGAACATGGCGATATTCAGAGGCATGACAACGCGAAAACAATAGTGGGATATATTTATCGAAATAAATAAATAAATGAATAAATAAATTGAGAACCCATTTTCCATTTGCCGTTCTGGCAAAGGAACCTGCCACTGACCACTTTTCGCACTTGGCCCTACTGCTATTTGGGATAAATAACACCATGTGTTGTTTTATAACATTTGGATCACATGGAATGAGATGCTATGGTTATTGTAACACTCCAAGGTAGGTAGAGTTTGCTACATCAATATGCTTGACTCCAGACGATAAATACACTGGACTATAAGGTAGAATTAGTATGACATTGTTACGGCAGTCGGTGCATTTCCGGTTGCGCTTTTATTTTGAATGTAGAGAAACCGGAAGTACGCAGTTCGAAGCTGGACGAAAACAAAGGGGTATTAAAACACGTCAGAAAGTTATGGTTTTATGAGTTAAGCACCTGGTTGATATGGGCACAAGATCAGTACCTGTACCTGAGCCCTATTCTCAGGTAAGTTCATAATGTGTTACAACAAGGCAGGTATAATTCCTGCTGTATGAAGCATTCTGAGCGTTAACACATGTTGTGCATCTCTAGGTGATCAAGATCTAGAGGATTTTTTTTTTTATTACAAAGTCCACTATGATTTGCACATTTACACAAAATGTTTGTATTTTTAAATGATAAGTTTCATGGCACAAACAGTGATTTTTACTTTGGGTATTTGGCCTGGGTCCATTAAACTTAAGGGGCCACTTTAAGATTTGATTATCTTACTCTAAACAATACGGTATATTGGTGCATATTCATAAAAGCCTTTGCTTTTTGTTTAGTCATCCGAACACCAGCAGAAACACAACAGACCAAAAAACGTGTGTGCTCAGCGGATGGGAACCTGTCGATATCAGCTTCTCCCAGCAAGCTTTGGAATCCAGCGGTGTTCTGGGTGGAGGAGACCAGTCTTTCCACCCCATGCACCACCTCAGCAGCAGGAGCCCTGCTGTCTGTTACACAGAACCACAGAGTGCCGTGTAACTACTGTCCAGATGTTCCTCACACACTAAAGAACACTAGAGTCGGAGCTTACCGAGCTGCAGAACATCTCGCAGGTTCCTCATTATGTTCCTCATCTCTTCCAGCCTGCTGTACACCTCGTTCATACGTGGGTACACTCCGCTGAGGGAGCTCACGTCAAACAGCTTCTGGAAGTGAGACACCATGGAGCCCAACGTGTACCGAGTGGGACTCCTGAGCACCTGCGGGACACACACCACAGCACAAAAAGGTCATCTCAAACCTACGAGTGTGGGATCAACTGACACAGCGTATTCTACACCACCATGAGCAAGTAGCACGTAGTAGCGCAGGGTGGCACCTTGTCCTCCTCAGCTGAGGTGTTCTCCAGCATGCTGTCCACCAGCATCAGCATGTCCTCCACCTTCACTGCAACAGTATGGCCGCCATCACGCGGCTTCCAGGGCATCAGTCTGCCAGTCAACCGGTTTAAAGCCCTTTGCAGATCCTACCGACATACACATCCAACCAACACGCATAAAGGTGGCTCCACACAGCAGGTTCATTTCCAGCTCTTTGGTGAACGATGACGTGAACGTTCCTTCAACTGCTCAAGTGGCGGAAGAGCCATTTTCTTATCAATGTGTTTGGTTTAACCTCCCACCACGTGGAGGAGTAGGGCTGCTGCCGATAGTGATGATTCTAGTAACAGTCAGGACAGTGCAAAGATATATTTAATAGTGTACGGTAACACGTTTTATGATTTATGTTCATTTAGAATAGGAAAAGGTATATTAAGACAGTGAACATGGATGTCTTTGATTCGTGTTGGGAAAACAATAAATTATACAAATACAATACATACACTAAATAAAACAAAAGAAACATCACTTTCCACGGTGAGGCGGCCAGTGTGGTGGCCTTCTTTTGATAGACAAAGAAGCCACTACAGGTGGTGTTTACCTTCAGGAGGCGGAGCTGCTGAGCCCAGGCCTCCAGTGTGGGGACCACAGTGTGAAACTCAGCCAGGTCTGAAGCAACGGAGGACGGTTGGAATGGACCGTTGGAATCGGTCACAGCAGCTCGGATCTCCTTCAACAGCTGGAGTCCAGGACAAAAGATTGTACTGAGTTCTTAAGTTAACGAGGAGAAAGGAGATATTCAGACCGGTAAGGAACCGAAGAGCGAGTTTACATGGTGATAGCGGGCACAGAGACCAGCCTCCTTGGTTTGCTCACTCGTCTCACTGGTGTTATCTTCGTTTGGTGATCTGTGAAGAAGGTTGTTTCTGTATTAGGCTTGTTTATTATGATAGGTAACAGGACACAGGAAGCTCTCACATCTGGGAACTTTCTCTGGACCTCAGTACTCTTGAGCCCAAAATCCAGTTGAACAGTAAATTAGAAAATGCCACGTTCCTTAAGGAACTCATGTGGCTCTCGAGCATACACTGGATGTATAAGTGGACGTAGCGTCCCGCATTGGATTGTGGACTATGGTTTGTCGTCTTGTTTTGTCTGAGCCCAATAGGACCACATGTGGACGAGAGGGTGGAGCTACAGAAGGAGCACATTGATTAGCGATCCCACCTTGTGCTTTTTTGAGCCCTCCAGACGACGGAGCTTGTGCTTGTAGAACTTCACGTCTCTGAGTGACGGCCTACACAGGAGAACATAGTCAGCGCCTTCACTGATAGGACAGCGCACGTTTCACGTGAGAGGAACACACACCTTTTCTCCAAGTCTTGCTTCAGGCGCTCCACCTCCCTCTGCAGCTCTTCGGCCTGGGCGTGGCTTCTTTTTTGTTGTTCCTGGTACGCCTTGGAAGAAATGCATGAGCAGTATTACCTTCTGCTTCAGGGGGAGCACCTCTGAGAATGAGTCAACGCTTGTCAGGTCACCTGGAGGACGGTTTTGAAAGATGGAGTTGCCTCCTTCATTCCTGTAGGTTGAGCCATCGGAGATCCTTCTGGTTGACCTTTGACAGCTCTGGGGTGAAATGAACAACATCTAATAAAGCAGAGGCTTCCTACCACATTAACCACTATGGGAGTGTCTCTCCGTCCATTGGCTGGAAACCACTGCTCTGGATAAGAGCTTGTTTCACAGGATTCAACCAATGGAAGAGACTGCCAGGCTTATCTGGATCAAAGCGCTCAGTAATAAGGAGAACACGTGGTACAATGCAGCTCATTTTCTTAGCCTGCGATACCTGAGCTCATCCAGCAGCGGAGTCATTTTGGTCTCGTAGAAGTCGATCACATCCAGCACCCTGCAAACAGGAGAACCGCGTCATCTCTTTACAGACAGCGGTTTGTTTCCACTGAGTACAGTTTGTAAGCCAGCAGAGGGGAACAGCCTGTGGAGCTACGGTGGGCATTTGGAAATGGACTTTTGATAGCATGAACATGTGACCCTCAGGGGGATGCGACTTGGTTGCCCTTAGCAACGGCAGCTGTTGAGTCCCCCATGTGGTAGTCCTCTAAAAGCCTTCAGTCCATCTTACATAGAGCTCACTAACTAGTCTGGATGGCTGAGGGATCAACGCTTTGTGCACATTCTGATGACGTCGACTGTAAAAGGGTGGATATCAATATCATGATATCTTACAAGGCCGTACAGAGAATAATTCTGTCTCGTCAGTGTTTTAAGGCCATGTTCTCACTGCTGGTCTGCTGGGGATTGCTGCTGGCTGACTCTTTTACAGATGTTCTGGAAGGTGCGGCTCTGTCGAGCCAATCGCTGCTCTTGTTCTCTCCTGTCCGGAGCGGCTAGTGATCAGGTTTCTGCAGCTCCTCCAGCAGAGGAGATGCCACTCCTGCACCACAGGACGCGTTGCTTCGGTTTGAAAATATATCTGCGCCGGTTGTAATAATTCATATGCAACGCAGTCCGGCGTGAAATGAATCGACAAGCATCTGTTTCTAGTTAGATAAAGTCACACGTGTGTCTCCATTCGGTTCCTGTGAGCCGCCCCTGTGACGAGGTGACCGCACCCAGAGGAGAAGTTGACTCACACCCACCAAACCCGTAAACCGACACCAGCCGAGCCGAGCAGTCCGGACCCGGACTGAGACCACGAACACCCGCCGCAGGTTCTCCGCCCGAAGCTAACGGAGCTAGCAGAAGTTACGGTCACCATGGCGGGCTGTCTGAGGGTCGCTGTTCTCCTTCTACTGGTTACTGGAACTTTAACGGACGACGGTAAGATCCCCACCGCAGCGCCGGGGTGTGGAGGTCTCGTTATGGTGTTTTTCACTGGTGTGTGTCTGAAGGCGTAGGTGAGATCATTAAAGTTCACAAGGAGTTTTTTGTTTTTTCAAAGGCCACAACATGTAACCTTGCATATCAGTTGCTTGTGTGGCAGTAGTCGTGTTGTTATTAATGCGTTACAAGGGGGGAGGAGGGGGTTACACTTGAAAGGAAGCTTGTGAGGACACTCGTCCACGCTTCACACCCTAAAGGGGCCCCTGCGGACCGAGTTACGGGACCTGATCCACACAGGTGAAGCGTGGGTCCAGGCCGACGTCAGCAGTGGATGGAGAACCATGTGCGTTGTGTTGGAGCTGCGCAGGCCCCGCCTGGCTCCAACGGGAGACTATGTGAACTCTGGCCGATTTGCTGAAAAATCTGGAAATACCTCAGGAAAAAAATCACACGACCAATGTTGTCACTGGGTATTTTCCATATTGCATACCCAGTGTGTTCATGTTGTTTATGCATCTTTACATGTGAATGAAGGTTGAAGTGGAAACAAGTGATTTATTTGGATAAGATGAAATGAGGACCATGTAGTGTTAAGCTACAGTGGGTATTTTTAAGGGGGTGGGTGGCGCCCAGTTTCAGCTTGTTCTCATTTTACAACTGAACAGTAGACTAGAACATCTTAAGGGACATCCTAAGCTGCAGAATACATTACATTACAGGTCATTTAGCAGACGCCTTTATCCAAAGCGACTTACATTACACTTTAAACCCATGGCGTTTTCACATTTTTGCCCAGGGAGCAATTAGGGGTTAGGTGTCTTGCTCAGGGACACTTCGACATGGAACATGGGGCAGCCTGGAATCAAACCAACAACATTGTGCTTCCCAGCACACCTTCTCTAACCCCTGCGCCACAACGACCCAATACAATGAAGACACAATACATATCTGTGGCAGGCCCTTTCCTGTTTACATGACAATCACCCGGTCTTGAAGAAATAGAGACCTGAGTTCCCTGACCTCGACCCAATTCAACCTTTCAGATGAACTGGAGCGCTATCTGCGGGTCTGGCTCGGGGGCCACCGATGGTTCTGTAGAGTAAAGCCAAAGCTTCATGTGTTATAGCTGCATCCTCTCTACTGACCACCAGGGGGCGACTCCTCTGGTCCTATAGAAGTCTACGAGAAAATGACTCTACTTCTCTCTGGATTTATTCAATCACTAATCATTGTAAACATGAGTTTATGATCACAATCTGTAGTTACGAGAAGTCTTCAATACAGCATGATGTTCATACAGTAAATGATGGTCCATTAATGGCATTGTCTGGTCTGGGTGTTGTCTGTGTTTTCATCTTACAATTTTAACTATTTCATTGAGATCTTTCCATGGAAGCTCATTGTAAAACGGTCGTTCTTATCTCCGCCCCCAACATGTCAAACCAGCAGGAGATGTCCCCGTGACTTTGTCCTCTTCTCATACACAGTCTGTGATCGTGCTTTGTCAGCCCGCTGCAGCGCGTTTTAGTTAAATCACGGCTGTAAAGGAGAACTGGACCGACAAAGTAGCCACAGCTCCATTGTACCTCATCTGTCGGACGGCGTCAGAATGAAGCAAACAATGAGAAAGACAATATCCGGGCTGAAGTTGCTCCGAGCTGAGTCCGTGCCACTGTTTTGTGTGGCAGAAAACCACAGGCACGCACATGAGAGAGACTCAGCACGCTATTTGACGGAAATAGGCGAGGATGATATTTTGTGGCTTACAGTAGTGCTGATATGTTGTATCCATTACCAGTGAGCTTTATTTCTGTGATACATTCTGGTATAGCGTGTGGAGCGTGATAAACCTAAACCTAAATATAATGCTGTAACCCACAAAAGACAAGTACTTTAGTCAGGTTTCAATCAGGAAATGGAAAAGAAAGTAGTAGTATTATGTCAATTTCATCAACCGGCCTGAAATACAGTACTTTTCTGTACATTTTTAAATACAAAATTATACATAGCCAAAGTGTTCTTATAAGTGCAATCTGATAAAAGTGACCTGGTTAGGTTTTCCTAACACCTCATCACCAAACATATATTTAATATTCAGCTGCTATATTGAACCATAAGAATCATGTGAGCTGAACCCGGCTTCTAACCCCTGATGTTCCTCGTGTCTTCCTCTTACAGGGTTCAACCTCTTTGATGCTTTGGACGATCCAGGTGAGTGCTTTCTCTGCAGCGTGTCATCCGCTCTGCAGAGAGGGTGATCGGCTGCAATCTGCCGTCCCTGCCGGACTCTCTGAAGCGTGCTAAAAAGATCGTGGCCGACCCCTCTCACCCCGGACAAAAACTGTTGAGGTCCATCAGGACTAAGACCTCCCGCCACACAAACAGTTTCTTCCCGTCGGCAGTCGGGCTCATCAACAGAGCCCGGTCCCCCACTGACTGACTATAACACTCCACCGGCCACTCCCCTTCACACTGCACATGTCACTTTAACTGTAATTTGTCACTTTGTCGTCACTCGTCACTTTGTTACTTGTTCGTTAGTGCACTTTATGCTTAATATTTTTTAAACTTTTTTAATATTTTAATATTTTAACTTTATTCCCTTGTTTTATACTAACCCATAGCCTTATTCTACTAACCCATTGCATTAGCATTTCATTTTACTTTATTTCATTACTTGTGCACTGCTGTCTTGTTGTCTATTGTCACACTGTCTACTGTCACGCACAACCGCCAAGACAAATTCCTTGTATGTTTGACATATTTTGGTAATAAATGTTTCCTGATTCCCGATTCCTGATTCCTGACATTATACCATAGTTCACATGTGTGAAGTGGGCTTTTACAAGGTTCTGATCCATAGTCCGTGTATTGCCACGGGACAACCCCCCGCCTCTACCAGTCATTGTTAGCCGTGGGTGTTCCCTTTAAAGATTTACCTCAATGATGTGCACAGTAATATCACCTCATAGGACAGCTAATACTAATCATTATTAATAAATAACAGAACTCAATTTAAAGTTTAATTCATATTTAAACGCATTGGCTGTTCAACACACGCAAACATGTCTGTGTGCTGTGCTGCTCGCAGCAGCGGGGCAGAGAGTTTGCTCAACTACTACCCCCCCCCCCCCCCAGAAATTGTAAACCTAGGGAAAACGCTGCAGTGTTCTGGGTACTTTTTCTACAATACAATAGGGTTTTTTATTGCTTATGAAATCACCATGCATTTCCCATGGAGTCTCTTCTTTCTGGCTTTAAACCTAAGGTTCGATTGGACTTCAGAGTATGGCAATCATTTATTGGAATTGTTAATTCATTTATTGCTGCATTCCTAAGTTGTAATGGATCGGCTTTCTTTCTGTGTTCACTAAATGTCTGGTGGCGACAACCTCTTTGTACCCACAGATCCTCAACCCAAACCTGATAAACCTGCTGTGAAGCCACCAAGCAGTGGAGGTCAGTCTTTTATCTATCTGCTAATTTTCTTCATTAAATCCAAATTTCAGAGCTAAGACCTCAGAGCGTTGGTCCTCCTCACGCTGGTGATGTGGTGGCTCCAGGCTTCATGTTTAAGGTTGTTCTTCTGTATCTCAGCAACACCTTGAGCTCATTTATTCTAACTCACCACAAAGGTTTTCTTCCATTCCAAGAAATGATTAGAATGTTCTGGTCAAAGGTCACCAAGCTCCCAAACCATCCGTCCATCTAAATAAATGTGAGAGCTATTGAGAACACCTTGTTGTTTTTAGTAATGAGATTTGTAATTTCTATAACAGCCGGGTTGGACATGTGAACCACACATGAACCACCTTGTCTACACTACTTAAAGGGAAGGGAAAACCATACAAATAGCCTGATGGGCTGCGGCCTTGTGACTGACCACTAAAGTGTTTTGGGTTTAAAGTTCTTCTGCTCCCTTTCCCCTCCAGGTGGGTTGGACCTTATCGATTTCTTTGGACCAGGTACGCTAAAGCTGTTGTGTCTCTCTCATACCCTGAATTTAAAAGGTGTCAGCCGATATTTTCTATGGCTACGGCCGACGGGGGGTGGGCGGTGGGTGGACGCTCCGGTTTTATTTTTTAGCTTGAGAAATTGGATTTGTGGCGGGAGTGCGTGATTAGAGACCGAAATGAGTGACTGTCATGCTCAATGCTCTCGGTCCTGGTAAGGAAGATAGAAATGGTTCTAATATGAGTCTTGCCGGTATGAAGCTTTAACAGTCGATGTATTCCTCTTTGCATGAATCAAAAGCAAGTATTGCCCACGTCTGTTGCCTGGTGAACATGTTGTTTTCTTAGACCATCTCCATACATCTTCCACACAAAGCACAATGGTTTGGAATGGATTAAACTTGGTATCATTACACCATTGTGTCTGTGGCCACTTGTCCTCCAGCCACGTGTCCTTCAGCACCACCCTGAACCCCTAGGGGCTCTCAGGATGAGTTGAATGGAGAGGTCAAAGGTTATGTGTGATTCCGCTAGATAAATAGTTACTCCATCTGTATGTGATGATTAGAACAAAGCTCTTTAACCTGCTTACTACCTACAGTGGTAACCCAGCGTTACTTTAAAGCTCGGCAAGGCTACACTGCAGCAGCTGTAGTTAGCCTTTCACGACGGAACTAATGTTTGACTATTTTAAACAGATGTCTTGTTTGTCTAAGTATGAAAGATAATAAGCAACAACATTGTTTTTTCTGGATCGATACCGAACTTCAATTCATGGTTCTAAAAGTCTTGCGTGTGTTGCAGAGGAGTTTCCTGCCAGAACAACAGGTGGAGTAACGTGTTTTATTGAAGACGACCTACTGTCACGTCTTTGTGTGTGGAAGTCGTTGGTTTGTTTATTTATTTATTATAGACTTTATTGCCCCGTGCATCGCCCCTGCTGACAGACGTTTGCGGAGATCTCCCTCCATGAATCGGAGGCCAACCGCGCGTCCTTATAGTCCGCCAATGACGGCTTGTAAACGTGGTCATATTTACGGATTTTTCCCGACAAAAGTTCTTTACTCTGAACCGTTCTCTCGTAAACATTCTTCGTTTTAATAGTAGCGGTATTCTGCTATGAAATCGGAAATGTGAGACTTCGGACAAGATGTAGTTAGCAGACCAATCACAGCCTTGCGGGCTGCAGGAGGCTTGCGTAGCTTTTGACGCTAGTCTAGAAAAATGGGTCGACGCACACAAGCACCCAAGGAGGTGTGAAAAGGCATGCAAGGGACTCGTAAGGGGCTCTTGCATCTGCGTGTCCTTGCGTCTCTAAAAACGCAGAAGCATAAACTAGGCTTAAGCAGGGCTTATCACGCCGTCCCTCGTGCTGCACTGGGACACTCTGGACCTCCTCATCGTCCATCTGATTCCTGCATACAGGCAGAAACTAAAGCTCTGCAAACCTGTGGTGAGGGACTTCAAGACGTGACCAGTGAGGCGCTGAAGGATCTTCGGGCGTGCTTGGACTGCACAGACTGGGATGCCCAGGATCACAGGACTCAATGACTACAGGCCCGTTGCTCTGACCTCTGTAGTCATGAAGTCTTTTGAACGGCTAGTCCTGACACACCTGAAGTCCCTCACCGACCCCCTCCTGGACCCCCTGCAGTTCGCCTACAGAGCCAACAGGTCTGTGGACGATGCTGTCAACATGGCCCTCCACTACATCCTCCAGCATCTGGACTCCCCAGGAACCTACGCCAGGATCCTGTTTGTGGACTTCAGCTCTGCCTTCAACACCCTGGAGCTCTAAAGACAGTGGAGATGGTTGTGGATTTCCGGAGGAACAGAGTCCCACCCTCCCCCATCATCCAAGGTGACTCCCCCGTCACCACTGTGGATTCCTTCCGTTTCCCGGGCTCCATCATCACCCAGGACCTCAAGTGGGAGCTGAACATCAGCTCCATCACCAAGAAGGCTCAGCAGAGGTTGTTCTTCCCTAGGCCAGTGGGAGCACTGAGGGGAGCAAGTCTCCGAATCCCATTGGGTGGGGCTTTGGCACCGTGGTGCTTTCAGCTAAATGCTAACGTGTAAGCCTTTGCATACTCATGTTGACTGTGGGATGTTTCCAATGGTCGCGACTCGCCAGTTTGCGACAGAGTCTGTGGATCTCCAACGTTATGACGGCTCATGAGGGGAATTGAATTGGAACATGATTTATTTGAATGTTTCTTCTAAATGTTGTGAGCATCCAGTAGTTGAGGAAAAGGGGTTGCATCTTGGTGCAAGCACTTCCTCTTTATTAAAAAATTATACCACTTGTGCTGTGTTAAGAGTTCCTTCCCTTTATATTTCACAATGAGTTTTCCACACACGCTTTACAATGGAGCGCAGTGGGTGGTCACACAGGTTTGAGGCAGATCCACAATGGAACCACCTTGTCTACACTACTTAACTGGATGTGGTTGTGATGACAAATAGCCTGATGGTGCGGCCGTGTGACTGACCACTGAAGTGTTTTGGGTTTAAAGTTCTTCTGCTCCCTTTCCCCTCCAGGTGGGCTGGACCTTCTCGACGCCTTTGGACCAGGTAAAGTCCCCTGTGCACGTTAAAGCTGCTGTGTCTCTCTCGGCAGCCGATATTTGAAACATTCATTCAGTGTGTGGTTTCAAGATGAGACTTAGTTGTGTTGTCCTCCACAGATCCGACTGTAAACCCCCCCAAGAAACCATGCTCACGATACTCTGGTAGGTCTAACGTACATCTCGTGTGGCCGACGGGGGGGGGGGAGGGGGTTGGATGCTACGGCCGACGGGGGGTGGGCGGTGGGTGGACGCTCCGATTTCATTTTTTAGCCTGAGAAATTGGATGTGTGGCGGGAGTGCGTGATTAGAGACCAAAATGATTGACTGTCACCCTCAATGCGTTACACTTGAGAGCCCTAGAATAACCTGTATTAGTATTGTTTCATGAGTGAGATCTTTGTGTGTTCTAGACGGCTCAGCAGCACCTTGAGCTTAGTTATTCCAATATACCACAAAGGTTTTCTTCCATTCAAATAAATGATTAAGGTCACCAAGCTCCCAAACCATCCATCCATCAAAATAAATGTGAGAGCTATTGAGAACACCTTGTTGTTTTTGGTAATGAGATTTGTAATATCTATAACGGCCTGGTTGGACATGTCAGCTTTACTACACACGTCCCAAAACTGTAATCCACAGTTTAAGATTAGTTTGACACTGTGTTGTTCATTTCTTGAAGGTGGACGGACCTTTAGTGACTCCGACTTATTGGACGTCATTGGTGGAGACTACAAGCCCGAGGAAGGTGGAGGTAGGACATCAGCACCACCTGCCAAATTCCTCCATTTGCATTGTGGAAATAACACTTACCGTACCATTTAGTGTAGTTATTATTGTGGTGCCTTGATGAGCTGTCAAACTGTAGAGTTTATTACATGTGTTTTCCAGTCAATCCATCCAAAAAGTTTGCTGGTATGCCAACCTAGGTACTCTGTCTTACTAGGTCTTCTCTTGGAGTTGCCACGATGCTCTGAGACAACAGACAGCAGTAATGCTAAGGAGAAATAACAAATCTGATTTTGTCTTGAATTAGATTTCATTTAATTTATAAGATTTGGTCTTTAGAAGAATAGCAAACTTTTAATCGAATAATGTGCGATCGAATAGTTCATTTTGACAGCCCTAGTATATATACATGTACAATTTATGTTTTTATTAACAGGCTACCAGGGAGGTTTGTTGGAGAAACTTAACACCATCATCAAGAATCAGAACCAGCAGCTCCGTCTGCTCAAACAGCTGACTCCATCTTCTCGCTTCAATGACCGGCGTACACGTTAAGCGTGTAGACACAGGACGACCTCTGTGAGTCTGTTTATCACCTACTTATGTTCATGAAATAGAGGCTGATGTCTCCACAGAGACACGTTCACTAACTGGACCTCTCTTGTATTTTCAGATGTGAGGAAGACCTCCCTCAGTGCGCCTAAACTCCTCAATGCTTTTTACTCATCACTACACGGTTATATAACTACTGATGCCACTTCTCTTTTATATTAGTACATTCAAAATGGATCTGCTAATTAGTAGAATAGATTATATCTGGTAAAATGATTATGACAATCCCTATAATTCTTTGAAACCGCAATGTAATATTTCAGAATTATTTCAGCAGTATCACATTTTCTTTAGCCTATCATTCCCATCAGCCCGTTGTAGGAATAAGACATTTTTATTATCACATAACTAATTTCTTCCTTTTAGATAACCCACACACAATAATATTGTGTAAACCTAAAACGGCCTTTATAATGGTATATGTACCCTGTAAAATGTAAATAAATATTACATATATATTTATTAGTTATTATTAAGTGGCCATATTGACGCAGTTCTTAATGAAGATAATTTTTTTCCTAAAAAGGACTGTACAAAAGAAAAAATATTTTCACAACACAACAACATTCAAAGAATGATCCTTTTTAAATTGAAATGATTGCCTAATTTTATTTTTTCAATGTTGAATACCTAGCCCAACATACCAGGTGTACTGGGGTTGAAAAAAACGTGGTTTCTTTAATGAATTCACAGAAAACTAAATAAAAAGGTGAATTTAGCCCGGTGTATTTACCTTTTTCCTTTTTTTTTTTTTTTTTTAAACCAAAAGCGAGAAAACTGAAACATGCGGCCGTTTTCCCTTTTCTGGTGTTCAAATTGTGATGTAGCGAGAGGCTGGGTCTTGGATGGAATACTATTCACCGGAGATGTCTGTAACTGCTGTGGCTCCATCTGCCGGTGGAGTTAGGAACCCCACTCCGAAACGCAGAGCATCCCAGAGCAGAGAGAGACGAGCTGCAGGTTGGGCCCGCTGCAGAAGACCAGACCAGTGCAGGACGATTCCCGGAGGCAGGCCGTTGGAGAAGACGGTATATTCTCTTGAGGGAGGTTCCGATTCCCCTCCAAAGACGAGGCGTTATTTAAGTTTTACCGGCGAAGAGCGACCGAAGCCTGAGTTACCAGTTTTGACTGTTTTCTGTTTAATCCGTAGGATGTGAATTAAACTTTTGTTTACATTTTTGAACCTGGTGTCCTTGCACTACTTGAACTACCCCTGTGAGAGCGGCGGCGCCTCTCGTGACATCACATATGGTGGAGGATGCAGGTCTAGTTCAAGCGGAATTAGTGCATGTAAGAGGAAGACACCGGAAGTTTTATTCGACACTTTTCCAGAAGGACCGTAGGCCCCTAACCAACAAAATGGAAGACATTTTGAAAATCCTTATTGCTGGCCAGCAAGCCCAAATGAAAATTAACGTGTCTCTCTTGGAAGAACAAAAGAAAGTCAACCTTCTGAAGGCAGAGGAATTACAACTGCAGAAACAGATGGCCGACCGGAATGTCCGCCCAATAAAGCCGAGTGACTATCTATCCAAGATGGGGGCCACGGATGACGTTGAGGCGTTCCTGCATGCCTTTGAAGCCACGGCCGCTAGGAAAGCCTGGCCCAGGGACCAGTGGGTTGGGCTGTTAGCCCCTTTTCTAACGGGGGAGTCACTGAATGCTCTTCGGGACCTGGGGCCTGACCAGGCGACTGACTATAAAGCCCTGAAGACGGAGGTCCTGAGCAGAAATGGCGTCATGAAGTTTGGTATGGCCCAGCGCTTCCACAGCTGGACCTTCCAACACGATCAACCTCCCCGTGCGCAGATGCATGAACTGGTCCGGATCACGTGGAAATGGCTGGAACCGCAGAGGAATGTGGCACCTGCGGTAGTAGAGGCCGTGGTGGTGGATCGATACTTACGGGCTCTACCGTATGAGGCGAAGCGGTTCCTCAGTCAACAGGCCTTGACCACGGCCGATCTAACTGTGGAAGCGATGGAAAAGTACCAAGCCGCAACAGAGATGCTTCGGGCCTCAAGAAAAGAACCCAGCAGCGCGGCCCTGACACAGACGGAAGAAACCGGTCCCAAGGCTACCAACCCAGCCTCTTCAGGAGCCCCAGGGCGAGTGGGACACCTCTCCTGCCAGTGTGGGACGCAGGCGGAGAAGCCGATTCCCACGGCTGAGTCCTCCAGCTCACCACCCGCCCCCCAGTTTGCCTCGCTCATAGGACTTGTAGATGTCCCCCCCCAGATCGACCTGCCTGGTGACTGAATCACCAGGACGTGGAGGCCTTGATAGATTCGGGTAGCCGGGCTACCCTGGTACCGGCGTAGAGCGACCGAAGCCTAAGTTACCCGTTTTGACTGTTTTCTGTTTAATCCGAAGGATGGGAATTAAACTTTTGTTTACAATTTTTGAACCTGGTGTCCTCGCACTACTTGAACTACCCCGGTGAGAGCGGCGGCACCTCTCGTGACATCACAATATCTAAAAAAAGAAAACCCTCACTCAAATAACGACTTTGATTTTAAATCCCTTTTTGTTTTTTACCTATGAAACGAACTACAAAGCGCCGCAGCTAAACTGGAAGTATGTGTACATTTTCACAATAAAAGTCAACGCAATAGAACGTTTGTGTGAGGCCTCAACCCCAGCGTGGAGGCAGGAGGCCGCAAGGGGGCGCCGAAGAACACGTCCTCCGGAGCCACCGGAATTCTGAACACCTGCGAGGGAGGAACTGTACTATGATCAACCTCATTGTCTGTGACTAATAATAAAAATAACCTTCCTCAACCTGTGTTTAAATGAACGTTAGGAGTTGGAGTATCGAATGAGCGCAGCGGTCCAGGTGGCATAGAGGTTATGAAATCACCTGCCATAAATCATACAGCACAGGTTAACAGGGCCCTCGGCTCCGTTCAGGCCTAAATTTCCATTTGAATCTTTTGCTCAGTGGAGTTGATGTATGTGGGGACATTCTGGCCCCTTCTAGTAATTAGATGACAATGACCTTTCTTTCCAGATATGTAATACTAAACTCCCTCACATGTGGTGTAGGTGTTGATTATGGCCCGACTTAAGGGCTGGAGAAGGGGAAGAGGAGGGCGGACCAAGCAGATGGTGAAGCGGCGTGTATGAGGAGGAAACCCACAGAAAGGAGGAACATGTTGCAGCGACTTAAGTTGTGGTTTGATTAAGGAATTGTTTTCTCCTCCGGGACGATATATGTTGAGTTGTGTTGGATTTTTGTTTGAAACAAAGCTGCCAAATGCTCTCTAAAACGGTATTTTTTCCCTTTTAGAATAAACCATTTAAACACTCTGATGGTGGTTATTTGTAAGCTCTCATGCACTGCTTCATTCTGTGAGAGAGATGAGAAGATTCTGAATGTTGAGCATCCTCTCATGGATGCTGCTCATAAAGCTGTAGCGTAAACTCAGTCAGGTAACCTGCTCTAGCCCGCCTATAGCCCATAGCTTATTTCTCTTACATCTGTCAATCACTCCTCATGCACAACAGAACAATGACATTCTTAGCCTATCATCTTGCTGCTATCTCTTTAAATATGATTGTCTCTCTACCTTCAGGAGCTTCATGCTGCTGATACTCGGTCCAGCTCGATCAGCTTATTCAACTCATTGTTCCATCAGTCAACACCACCACCATGTGGTGGTGGAGGCAGGTTGCTAAACGTTGTATGTAGTATGACTTTGGGGGGAATTTAATGCGTTAATTAATATCGTTTATTTATTTTATTTTTTTTATATGTAATTTAGCCATGCTATACAAAGCCCCGTTTTGTGATTACATTCCTGAGACACTTTATGGTATAGCCTACAATACTATGATTACTTTTTTTGGCCATTTTTATAACTGCTCTGTAAATTAGATTTTTCCCCCATAACATATTTATGACATTTTCCTTGCACACCATATAACATTTTAACGACATTTGACCCATTGTGAATTCTTGCTCATAAGTTTCAGATTTTGTCATATTTTTATGATATTTCTATGACTCTTTGTGATTTTGTTTTATGACTGATCATGCCGACTCGCCCTCCCTATCCCTCTTCCACAGCAAGGGAGACTGTTTTTCAGCCACATGAGAGAAGTTTTTCCATTCAGCTCACTGAGCTGAATGGAAAATGAGTGAAAGTCTCTAACCCAGTGGAGCGAAGCCCAGAAAAACAAAGCCCATTCGGACTGAAATCTCATGGTACTTACGTAAAGGCTTTTTTCCTGTGTTCATATTATTGTGGTATGAAATAAAGTTGTTTATTTGCATTAAGCACACGCAGTGCTGGCACATGTCAATGCCTGTGCTTCCTTTTCTAGGGCTGAAATGGATTAGTTTCATAATGCATACCATGTCCTGTTTATAAAAGGCAAAATAAATAAATTATGTCGCCATGGTTATCGAAACTAAAAGCTTTCCTATTGAATTGACCTGGGTCATGCAAGAGAAGCCGTGGAATAAACTGTATTTTGAAGAAGGTGAGTGTGTGCGTGAACATATTCCTACGGTTACTCTAAGCAGTGTAAATAACGGAAGGTGAATATCACCTATATGCACTCTACTTTTGATTTGACGCCGAGTCCTCTGAGATGTTTCCCCCTGCAGCAGGGCTCAGGGGCCAAAAGCCGACTAAAACTGTCCACTGTCCATTTGTCATCATTGATGTAGGTTTGAATCATTATTGCTTGTTTGATTAAATCTGCTTTTACATATGCACTGAAAGATATAGAAAGACAGAATCCTCGTTAAAGGGTAGAAGAGGAAATGGTGACATATAGGTGGAACCATGAATGCATAAAATTGCTAAGAAATGACAATCCCAAGTATTGTAACTCTGAGCATGAGTTGTCCCTGTCGGGGGCTTAGCTCGGGAACGTCATTTACAGATAAACTGTGGAAGGTGGAGACGTATGAAGAGCCCCATTTCACTAATCCCTCTTCACCTTGAAGCTGTTTGGCTGAAAGTGAGAGAATAGAGAAGTCAGACTCCATCAGCTGAAATCCCTGGCCAGGGATCAACTTTTAAACCTTGGTTCTTGAAAAAATAAAAAATAAAAATACCCCAGCTTTCTCCATTGAAAGGTCCGTCTCTTGGCGGGGGGTCTGACTACAGAGGGGACAGGTTATCCACAGTGAGATTATGAGGCTCTCTCATGCTGCACAGGTGCCCGAGGCTGATACCACAAAGTAATAGGCCTCTAACAGCCCATGTGGAGATGGCGGCTGCAGCAGCTTTAGATGGCAGCAGATAAACAGCAGTGACCTGGCATTGTGTCAACTTTTGTGAACAACAACAGCGCAGCAACTTTACCAGCATTTTCACATTACACCTGCATTGTTTTACAAATACTGCAAATATCTATAGCAATATAAAATTTTAGGTTTATGTTGTGGAATATTAACGGTGTGTGTAACATATGGATCTGAAAAATAGCTGGATGTTGCTATAATGTAGCGCAGACCTGTGCAGATCGTAAATCCCTCTGAGGCTAATTTGTGATTTTGGGCTATAATAAATACTTTGAAATTAAAATGCCTAGGTGGTCTCAATAAAGACCAACAGGCTACATACACTGTGTTACCTGTGGATGATTGGCAGATGGGAAACAGCTGATAATAAACACAATACCCACCATTAGTGAGAAAGAAAATAATTGATTGAAATAACTAAGAAGCTTGGGTAAATGGCCAATGTGTGTTGCTAATGATGATATCCGCCCTTAGGATACAGCTACGATCGTTCATACTGAACAGATTTTGCTTTTAGTCTTTCTTCAACCTTTATTCCGAAGCAACACAGCCATAATCCTTGTAAAGCAAAGACATCATACAATATGACTGTAACAGCACTTTATTAAATCTCAGCTCAGTGACATGACTCAGTTACTACATATTTTATATTCATAATTTTCATGCTTTACAGGTTGAGCTCATGCATTAGGCCCCACGGTCTTGCTGTATTTTATGCGGGAAATCAATAACATAATGCATGAACCCATAAGAAATGTGGAGGTTCAACAAGCACCAACATATTGACAAATAGGAACAAAATACGGTGGACCATATTTAACCACTTATCAACTTGCTTGCTTTGTCTATGGAAAAACTATACCATTCCCTTTTTAAAAAAGTGCATATAACGAGGAAACATAATTGGCGGCACCTCCTAAAACCCTGAGGGCCCGATTGTGGAGCCAGGAAAGCCGAGACAGGAACAGGTCTGCACATGCTCAAAGTCAAGATGCATTTTCAGCAAGTAAATAGAAGCCGAAGGATACACGTTCATAATATACAAAGAAAGGAAATCAACACAACTGAAAATTAAGAAATTTGTTCAAGATGCCCTGTGTGGGTTTGAGGCTGGAGGTTTACATCCCGAGTACTTTTACAGCAAATAAAGAATTTCAAAATGATTTGAAGACAAATTGAACAAACAAATAAAAACCACTCAGGGTCAGGAAATCAAATATGAATTATTTCTTCGCTATAGAAGAAAAAGGTCTTGTTTGGTTTTGAAAGAGTAAGAGAGTCTACTACACATAACCTCACTTTACACATCAGCACAAGTAGTACAGGCAGAATACAATAGTATAAAACAACAATGTGTGGAAGAAAAACACAGAAAACAAAAAACGCTGACATCATCTTTGGTGAGCTTTTACTGGTGGTCTTCGTGTTAACAACACTAGCAGGGTGTGGGTTCGCTGTCGTTACTGCATAGGGGCGATCACTGCGGTGAGAGATTTGCAGACTCTGACGTATTTGTTAGATTGGTTGCATAAACTTGTCAGCCCGATGCGGTGCAACAGGAGAGTTGTTCACAGCCAACGTTAGTGACTAGAGGAAATTAGCCCAAACTACAAGGGTTAAAGGGTACAAGGAGACAAATTCTTCAAAGAGCATCGAGTTAACAAACCACCATGGCTTAACGCCTCGGACATTGACAACAATCACCTTATTATTCTTTATTCCAACAAAGATGGAAGCTTAAATGACCACTTAATTTAGTATACATGTAGGTTGATATTTGTCCCAAAATTTCATATTTTCATACAAAAATAAACTTCTGTTTTGCCTTTTGATGTGAAAATAAATCTGTCTTGGGGCTAATTTCTCTTTGAACAATATTAACGGTGACATCAAAAATGCTCATTAGTATTGACCTAGGAAGCTTGTTCTGGACTAAATGGGTAATCAGGGGAAAGCAGGGTTAGGGTTAATGCAGAATGAAAACGGAAATGTTTTCGGTTGGATCTCTTTGATTGACAGATGTGTCGGCCTGCTTTATTTTTCTATTGTATTTGTATTTTCTGGTTAGATAGCCGCGCAGCATTTCAGAACTCTCTTCAGAAAACGAGTCTGGCACCGTCGTCCCTCCACCTATGATATATATATTTTTACTATGATTTCCGAGCCTATGCATTTAAAGATTAGCACAGTTAAATCCACCACGCATGTCCACTTAATGTGGTAGGTGGAGTCCAGCTCATGTAGATAAGTAATTAAGAGTAAAGCTGTCATTAAAACTGTGAATTACTATCCTCTAAAGTTTTCTGCCATTTTAGACATCTTAGTGTGCATATCCTTAGCAAAAAAAATATATGTGTGACCTCAAAGAACTGCAAATGAGCAGATAAAACATTCTCAAATCATTACAACACTGACACATGAATTTGGTATAAACACACATGCAAAATGAGAACATCCATATTGTTATATAAACAAGTGCCATTAAAGCGAACAATGCTGATAACAAGTTTCCATTCTCAAGTCTGTTTTTACATTTGTTCGTGATATAAAGTTGCATAACTGACTGGATAATTCTCTTCTTGAATGCGCAGTGCTGGCTGAGAGGTAGCGTAGCATGAGGCTACACAGATGAAGGTTAAATCCGTGGATTCTGACATCTGGATGCGATCCTCCCACTAATACACAGGCCAGTCCATGACAATCCGGAGGGAAACCATTCCACCGAGGAAACTGACCCAGGAAATAAAGCCAGCAGACCTATTCTCCCATCGCTCACCGCTCAGGTGCCCGGAGCAAATTGATCCTGCTCGATGGGTTTCTTCACCCAGGCGCCCAGTCCGGCTTTGTGGAAGGCTCTGAAGAGCGCGTGCTTGGCGCTGTGGTACTCCACCGCTGCCTGCTTGGCATCATGGTAGCTGCTGGGCCTCACCGTTTTGATCCGCAGGGTGGAGGATAGCTACGGGACATGACACAACAAGATGGTCTCAGCTTTAAACAGAATGAGTGGCTTAAAAGACGATGCACTACTGTTGTTATTTCAGTAAGACTTGCAGGATGTTCACCAGTGTACAGAATTTCTGATGGAACTGTGTAACACCAGGCTGAAACCCTAAACCACAGCTAAGCACATGATAGAGTCCCAATGTAGCAGTTAGAGTAGTAGTAGAAGTTACAGTAGTAATCATCAACAGTACTGAAAAGGAATTACGCACGCCTGACACCGCTACTGAGAATCCAGGGAAGCCCCAGGACATTTTGTGATGTCAGTTTAAGACTACGTACACACATTGGGACCTTCCACAGAACTGGCCCCCAACAAACTGAACCAACTAAAATGAGAAAATAAATAACAATGACTTTCACTGACTGGGGTCAGTCAGAGTTGCTTTCGAATTAAATCAAATATGTTAGCAAGCAAGGATTGCTAATTAGCACAACGGAGATTTGCATTAGCTCCCACGGGTCGGCCGCGGATACGTGGTGACCGGTGTGTCCCGCACTGCCGTGGTGATCGACCAGTCAATAGCAATCAACGTATAGAGCCCCCCTAGAATTACGTCATAGACGCTGCAATAGCATCAGTTATTATTGATCTGGAGAACATTTGTTCATGGAAAGAAAAGCAAAGCCCGGCCCTGGAAGCTTTTCACTCTTCACCAAAAGGGTTCATCCAATGACCTGGTAAGTTCCCGCCCTTTTTGTATCAGTTGACCACGGCTGATGATTTTATGAGCTCTGTCGGCTGATGTTTCTGTGTCCTGAACCAGAGGCCCATTAGGTTAGGTTATCACTACTTAATAGCTCACTTACCACTGAAACTTAACCTTGTGAGTTGAAAATTAGAACATTTACATCAGGCAAACAAAAGAATTGTTATGTTTAGGAAAAAAGCAGTTTGGGTTTAAATTACGTTTAAAAGGGAACCTGCTTTAGAAAGGTACGAAATGATAAAAATAAGTCAACACAAATGTCCTGTGGTTGTCGGACCCACCCATTCACTTTGCCCGTGTGCAGCATGTGGTGTTACCTTGCAGTGCAGGCGCAGCCAGCGACTGTACAGAGCGTGTTTGCAGAGCCTGGAGGGTCGACTCAGGTCGTCCTTCCCTGTGGTGGCGTTGATCAACTCTAACCCTTGGTCCCCCACCGTCCAGTTCACGCTGAAGTTGGGAGCTTTTCCTGGCTGACGAGCCTCTGAGTTGCTTATTCCTGTAGAAGAAGTTTCAGTTCACAGAGTGAAAGGCCAAATCCATTTCACAAGACGCGACCAGAATAAGAATCGGCCTGGATATCACACAGGTTGCCCACAACTGTCATTTTGCACACCTCTTGTGTCACATATTTTAAGGTAAGCTGGAGCCCTAATGTATAAAAAATGACTTTAGCAGGGAAGTCAGTTGAAATCAATGGAAATCAGTTCTTTCTAGAAGTACGGCCTGTTTCTCACCGCTGAGCAGTGGCCTATTCAAGCTGAAGGACTGGGGCAGGTCCTCGATCTCGGTAATCCTCTGGTACATGGCTCTGGAGAGGTGGTCAGCATGGTACAGGCTGCCCAGAATGATGCTGGAGAAGTAGATGGCCTCAGTGAAGTAGCTCAACAAAGAGCCTTGGAGTCCGACGACATTCCACCTGAACGGAAACAGAATGGAAAAATGTATCCAATCAAGCAGATTCCTTCAAATTGTCAGTTAGGTCGTCGGTTCCGGTCCTCTTTTTATGACCCACGCAGATAAAGAGAGTAACCACGTGGTTTAATCCTTTATTCACGACACGCTTCTCACAGCTATTTCATTCCAGCTCAGAGGAACCCTGAGATTCATCAAGCAGCCTAATCAGAGTTCCAGTGGCATGATGACACCTGAGAGCCGACAGAAGACACAGACAGAGTGATTGGAGCACGTCTTTACACGTGCACGTAATCACCAGGATTCCTAAGGGTCTTCTGAAAAAACCCAGTCAACCCCTCAGGGAGTCTGCAGGGCAGCGTTTGTGTTGTCTGTTGATCCACTTATGCGCACTGTAAAGTGTATGACCACATTGCAGGTTTAATTTTAACATATATCGAAAGGATGTTCGATGTAAAAACACAACATGGTCATAAAGACGAGGTTATATTATTTTATTGGGCACTAATGAGCCCAATATCAAATTACGGTTCCACGTTTCAGTTTTTAGTGGCCTTCAATAAAAAATCCTTACACAATACCGTCATCCATGCATTGTGTCTTGTGCTACATTTAATTGGTAAATGGACTGTACTTGTGCATCTTGTTTCTAGTCTTCTAACCACTAGAAGCTCTTTAACACGACATGTTATCATTCACCATTCACACACTGATGGGAGGAGCTACCAGACACAGTGCCACCTGCGTTTTTAGGTTATTCTATTGTGTGTGTGTATGTGGGTGTGTGCGAACAGGAAGCGACACAACACAAACCTGGCAATCTTGTCACTGCAGGACATGGTTAGCAGCCTCTCGCCCTGAAGAACCCCATCCCACGTCTGGATGGTGTTAGTGGAGCGAACCGGGATGGTTCCTTCACCGGACTCTATTTTAGTGCGGAGCTGTCCACGGGCTTTTCTGTTCGGGTGTCTGTCCCCCTGATCTGTAGCAAGCAGGCAGACACTTTAAGAATCTTATGATAAGCAATACACCATCATGTAAATTATTTTTTTTCAGTTGTTCTTCTTCTTCATGAAGGAACCAGTTCTATGTTCCCACAGTCTTATTCCCCTGGGTTTAAGTGAGAACAAGTGACGAGTCAAATGTACCCATTGTCACTGCACACAGGGTCACGGGGTGGGGCTGAAGTCTATACCAGCCAACTTCGGGCAAGAGACAGGGTACACCCTTGACTGGTCGCCAGCCAATTGCAGGGCTACACAGAGACAACCATTCACACTAACATTCACATTCAAAAACCTACGGGCATTTTAAAGTCCCCAATCAACCTGATCCCCAGAGCATGTCTTTGGACTGTGGGAGGAAGCCGGAGAACCCGGAGAGAACCCACGCAGATATGCATGGGTTCAAATGTACTCAATTCAATTAATTTTGTTTCGTAAAATCACGAATCACACATTTTTCTCAGAGGGCTTTACATTCTGTTCACATGCGACCTCCTCTGTCCCCAAAACCTCACACAGGGTCCTATGTGCCCCAGTTTCACATATGTATACTCCAAGGGTCTATATTCATAGGTCCTATGTTACCAGGGTCATATGTTCCCAATGTCCTATGTTCTAAGTGTACCTGGTTACTATGTTCCCAATGTTTTATTCTCAGACATTTGAGGTCCAAATGTCATGTCCCCCAAGTCATATGTCCCTACGTTCCCAAACGTATATAGCACATACTGGTAACAGGACAAAGGGCCCTGTGTGCCCCAGTTTTACGGATGTTTTCTCAACGTGTCCTATGTAACCAAGATCTTATGTTGCACAAACCTATTATTAATTCGAACTAGCTACACGTTAGGATGTGACTCTTTAACTCCTTGGTGTCAATGGTTTCTAGGAGACAATTGTGTTTTCTTAGGTTTATTGTGGATTGGTTCCCCAGCTCTGTATAGCACAAATTGGCAACCTGACGAAGCTCTATTTGTTTATACAACATATTGTGGGAACTTAAGGGTGACAAAATGAAACCTTCGAACAGTTCGCTTTATTTCAACTAGGGATATATAGGACCCTGGAAACGTTGAAACACTCTCATACTAAACAAGTCCAGCCTTTCTACTTTTCTTCATCTCCTCACCCTCCATTCCAGCCTCATGGGGAGAAAAGATGCGGGCGTCTCCACAGGGGGACGTACTGATGTACAGGTGGAACTGGATATTTTCCTTCAGCCTGAAGCCTTGTCTGTTTTCACACCTGGCGAAGATCGATGTCTGCTGCTCCTCTTCGTGGTTACTGGAGACACATATGTGAAATGGAGGGACATGCCACACAGAACGCCGGCTTGCAGGTTGTCTTTACAGTTTTTCTCAGTTGTTAACACACAAAAAGCAAAACATTTGGCACAATGTTGCACAATGTTTACTTCATATACCAATTGCTCGACCCAATTTGGCCTTACTTTTCAAAACTAGACTCTGACTTTCCTTCTTTACACTCAATGTCAACTACACATTGTTATCAAAGCACTACACAAAATGTTGTTGCACACACTCAAGTAAAATCTCAAAGCATCAACAAATATTCAAATCTCTAAACATTCAGGGCTGTTGTCCATTTTGAATAATGCAATGTTGGGCCTAATTCATTTTTAATATGCTGCGTATTTGTGTGTTTCTTATGTTTGAGGAAAAAAGTAGGCCTACCCTGAGACATTTTACAAAAGGAGAAATGGCGCATTCTCCAGAGTCATTGTCATTCATAAAGTGTGTTCAATTTCTATGATTGCACTTCAGTGTGCTGTAATTGCTTGGCAGTGTGCAGCAAATGCTTAGTTGTGTGTAGTCAATGAATGGTGAATCTGAATAAATCTGTGTGGGATTTGAAAATATGGCTGTGTACAAATGAAAACACAAGTTCAATTTTAGATACTTGATGACATAGAGTCATGTTTCAAAGGGAAATTCTGTCACGGTGTGGGTATATTTCCGGTCTTATTTTGTAGTTTTCTGCTTCTTGTCTCCCTGGGTAACTTCACTTCCTGCCTTGTCCTGTCATCCCCTGTGATTGTCTGATTGTTTCCACCTGTGTCCAATCACCTGCATCTCCCTAGTGTATTTAAGCCGTGTGAGTCCCTTGTCACTTGTCGCGTCATTGTCTATCGTCCTGGATGTTCCGAGATCCTGCCTGCCTTTTTGCCCTCTGTTCCTGTGTGTGTTTTTGCCCCTTGGCCTTTTGTTTTCTGCATTTTGACTATTAAAGTCATTTTTTTGCTTTTGACCTCTGCATTTGAGTCCTGCCTTCCCACGCATCCCTGACAATGTCAGGTTTAGCATCTTATGTGTGAGGTCTTCAGTTTTGTGAATGTCGTTTTGAGAAAGCTGTTATTGTTTTGAGAAACGATTGTGAACAACTGTAAGCAACGACTCAATACATTTCAAACATGCAGGAGATATATAAACTGTGTTTAATGATCAGACTTTTATTTATTGGAATTTAGACATTTGGTTGGAATTGACAAGTTCACGACAATGTTATTTTCCCTTGTTATGAAACTGGCCTTTACCAAATAGTGGAATAGCAGCTCAGCTTACCTGAGGAAATGCTCCAGCTGGGAGTAAAGGTACCTGATGAGCGAGCGGCGAGCCACTATCTCAGCATGGCAGTCATTGAGGGCCAAACCTCTATCGCTCATGTATTCACCATTGATGCACTTTGTTCCTGTGGACACGCAGATGACCTCAGCGTCCTTCACATCTGTACCTGTACAAGAGAGAATGAGGATAGCAGTCTAAATTGGGTCATTGATCAGGTGTTGGTATGCACAAACTGATGTTCAGAAACCCAAAGTTCAGTGACCTCTAATGTAACCCTCGTTTAACCAACCTCAACCTGGCTACGGTTATGCAAATCTTTCTACAGCTCTCCTGAAATACACAATCGCGATTCCAAGGGACTGATGGTCCACTGTACAGAGGACCAAACGACTCGCCAGGCCATTCTGCTGGGGCTACAAATCACCACTCTATCTATCATGCATTTCAATTACAATGCATTTCGTTGGAGGTTTTATATCTGATAAAAAGCTTAGAAAATTGGAAAATGACATGACATCAGCTATTGTCCGAGCAGCAATACACATGTTGGCCAGTGGGTGAAACACTGTTGGGTGTGTAGAAAGAAAATTAGGCAGAAGAAAATTAAAAACAACAACTTTTGGCTTATGTGCCTAGTGGAACATTTAAATGATGACGGCTATCTCTCTGTTTTGGTATATAGTTCCTCCAGTAGTCCACAGTCTCTGAATCGCCTTTTTTACTCATGGAAGCTGTTCGAAATCAGAGTAAATAATTATTCACATTTTACCATCCAGCAAAGCAGTAGATACCCATCTGAAGCTGGACAGAATACCCAATACCTCAAGTTTCCCTTTTCAGAAATCCAAAAGCACTAACTAAGGCATGTTACTCTGAAAACAAAGGTTAATTGAGAAGAAGCTTACCAGGAAGTGTGGCAAAACTTTACCTTTCAAACAAAGAATACATTCAATTTAAAAAAAACCCGCTGCAGCCTCAAACACAGAGCTCATAAAATCATCCAGGACGGGGGTTCAAGCAACTGAAAAAAAAAGAATCACCTGTTGTCATGACGACACCTGCCAATACTTTCCGCCTCGAGTGCGGAGACGAGAAGTTGTCCGTGAGTTCACTGAACTTGTCCACGACCAGGCGAGAGACGGAGTCCGCCAGGACCTTCAGAGGAATAAGAACGGCAGAAAATAAAGTCTGTCAAGAAAACTAAGCAGACTGATCTCATCCCCAGATTTGATGTAATAGGAGTATGAGAGAACAACAAGGGCCACGAGTGATGGAAATAAAGTGAAAGCTCTTATCTGCACTGAAAATGTTATTAAATATTTCAATTGGGAATGCTGCACTGGTGTGAATGACAGGCAGGATTCTGAGCAGCTTACCACATTCAAACCCTCCGCTTCACTGACTGCTCTGGAAGTAAAGCAGAGCGACTAGGAAAGGCTGGTATAATGAACGGGAGCGTTTGAATAGCACGCAGAGGGTGATGGTAATTAAGATAGCAGCTTTGTTATCAGTGTGCAGGGATTACAGGCAGGGATTAGTTCATGTGTAAATAGATTCCTAGTGTATTGAACTGGTCTCTCCTGAAGCTCTTCAATCAGACTTTGTCAGGTTGGCCCACGATCGGGGACAAGGTAGACGAGTCTTTCGTGTGGACAACACAGATCTCACAAAGAAACATGTGCGGCTCACAATCAACGCTGCTGCCACTGTCTGCCTGCGACCTTTCTTAAAAAAGCTTTTCTTTACAGGTGACGATTGTCATCACTTTCTCTTCACTTGTGATACAAGTCAATTTTGCTTTTGTACTCTGCTGTTATGAAGACCAACTTTCAGGAAATGGGTTTGTGCCAATATAAAAACAGTAAAAATTCCTTCATACATATATATATATATATATATATATATATATATATATATATATATTGGAATAAATCTATATTATTACAACAAACCTCAGATCAACATCATATATGACTCCAGTCCAGTGAGACTAGAAACCATGTTTGTGGGCATATGATTTGCTTGGTAATAAGTAGTTTGGTTAATGACCAAACATCTGCTCAGGTTAAACATTTAGCAGATTATCGTATGTTCAAGGTCCTAGATACAATATATTGGTCTTCTCTTTTCAAATGGATAGATATTATGAATTATTATATATAATAATTATTATATTATTTACTCCAATAACAGTCATCAGTCCATGTTTACTATTCATACTGTGCCATAACTAAATACAAAGAAAAGGCTTATGTTATTACACAATGAGCATTGCATTGCATATTTACAACTCAATGCAGAGCAGAGAGAATGTGGTCAGAGCAATTGCGAAGAAAGGGAAAACAGTTGCTGGTGACATTTTTAAGGAGTCCCATGTGATCATGCAATACTATCATGATATCTATGCACCCAGGTCCTTGCTTACCTGTGGCAGGTGAAGCTGCAGTCCTTCTCTGGGTATTGGCTGACTCGATGGAGCCTGATCCAGCTGCATGTTAAACAGAGCAGACAGAGCAGCCTGGGCAGCCCGGGCCTTGGCCAGCTTCTTGTTCCGTCCAGAACCCTGGAAGCTCTGAGCATCCACTGACACTGACATAACAAAGTTCTTGGCGTGGCTCTCCCCGCTTTCTGACACAAAGTCATACTTGAGGCCCGGCCGCAACTCATTGAGGATCATGACTGGATTCTTGCCGCTTGTAGGGGAGATGAAGGGGGAGGGGACTAGCGGTAACGGGGCCTGCCCCAGGTTGGGGACAGGAGAGGGGAGCAACGGGTACTCTATTCCCAATGAGTTGAAGGAACCATTACTGATGGATGCAAGGTAAAACGGGTCATCCGCAGGAATGGATGTATCAAAGGCATTAAAGAGCATGTCTGGAAAGTCAGCCTGGTCCGAGGTGAAGTCCGTGTGAACAGACAGAGTCCGGCCCATGGCCATGTGGGCTTCGGACGCATTGGGGAACTGGACGAAGGAGCGCAGTGCCTTCTCTGCTGCATTCAGCTTGGCCTTCTTCTTGGTAGGACCAGAACCCTCGAAGAGCTGCCCGTTGACCTCCACAGTCATCACGAAGACGGGTGCATGGACGGGCCCGGTCTGCGAGAGTATTTTGTACTGCAGCCCTGGCTTGATCTCATTGAGCTGCATGAGGGCATTCTTAGGCAGAATGGGCCCGGGGACTTTCTTACGCTTCTTGGGCCTGTACTTGGAATGCGCATGCCCATTATTGCCCTCCTCTAAAGGACGCTTCCTCCCACCCCCACCACTCCCATTGGGGAGTTGAGCAGCCGCAGCTGCAACCCCCTCTTTGGAGAAGAGTTTGTCCAAGTTCCGATTTTCCTTAACATCTGTGCTGCATGAACCTGCGGTGCCCAGAAAGAGTAACTTACAATGCCTTCGTTGCAGGATCTTGTAAATGTAAAATTTAGAGATTCCTTTAGCTTTCTTTGCAACCGAACGAGTGATGTGTGTTCCTTAATCAATACTTAGTAGTGAAAAGGAGGGAAATTCTATCGGTAGTGTGTTTTAAACACATTCATTAATTCATGACAGCAACAATGCTACACACAATCAGGACTGATTTGTTTGATTAAATTAGGTATGGCAAATAAGAAACTGTTAACCTATAACACTTGCCTCACCAAAATATAATCTTTATTACCATGAGAAGCAAAACATTGACTTTAGCTATTTGTTGCAGTACTCAAATTCAGAAAATTATACAACTCAATGTGTTTTGAAATGACTTCCTCAGGACGATGTTGTGTGTTTGGGGAACACATATCACCTGGCCCTGATAAAAAAGCTGATGGAACTTAATGTAAATTTCCATTTATAACATCCTCCAGCATAAGCTCGATAGGTTACTCCTTTCGGTGCTCAGGACAGAAAACAATCCTATAATTGCAGGTTTAAGGGGGTTGTGGGGAAAGATGGGGGTGCAAACAATGCATTATTTCCTAAAATAATTCTGTACTTTGACTGAGCCTGAAGAAAAACATCAGAGAAATAATATTAACTTCAAGCACTTTTATCGATTGATTAACTGCGACGACCTCAGACAGGAAACAAGCAGCGATGGTGCATCACAATACATGAAGGTATAAATATCTCTTTGAGTTTCTTTCACGTCTTTCTGACACTACATGAAAAGAAATTATGGCGCCGTATGTTAACTTATAGTAACGTTTTCCGAAGACGAGCCCTCGGTCTCAGCCTACTGCCGGTTTTACATTGTATTCTCTGGGCCGTCAAATGCAAAAGTACCCATCCCTACCCATTGTCACCTTAAGCCAAGTTAAGCTTCATGTATTCCAATTAAAAATGTCTTTGACTTCCTCTTTAATCAACGTATACAGTTCCTGGACAGTTAGTGGAGTTATTTTCGGTGTTCAACAACAGTCGTCAACGACTGTAAGCAAAGTACATAGCAGGCATTCACGAGGGGAACTGAACCCAAACATGAGAAACACAATGGAAGATAATACCCTGAGCAACAAGAGGGGGAGAATGATTATAGGTCTGCTGGGGAAGAGAGAACATATTGTTATTGTTCTTCCACTGAAACAGTCAGAGATGTGGCTCAGCGAGCAAATATAGTCACAAGAATTTTCTCATTGGATATAGAAGTGAATCCCTTTGGTGCATCCAATGGAAAGGTCTGTCTGTGGATCAAAATGTGTCTCGGCAGGTCCTGTTAAAACGCCAACGCAAAATGCGTTAGCTGGAATCTAATATTTGATTCCTTTTTTGTTTGACTTGCTGTTTATGATTTTAACAAGCAGCCCTTGAATAACCTTGAGCGCTTCCATCACCAGCGCTAGCTAACTCTCCCTGCACTCCCATGCATAATCCACATGTTCTCCCGACTCGTTTCACTTTGGCTTAAACTGAACAGGGACAGGATTACTGCTGTGTGAGCATGAATAAAGAAACGTTTAAATAGTCCGTTAGCTTTGGGGCGCGGCATCAGCAGGCCGAATCACAATGCTTAACTATTGATTTGGCTCTCGTCTTCCAGCACAGAGACTTCTTTCCGCCTACCCTGACGAACAGCCGGATTCACTCACTCTTGAAAATGGAATGTCATCTCAGCTACATGTATGTTGGATTGTATCATCCTTGTAAATAAATAGCACACTTAATAGACCACACATCCTTTCCTCAGGAATCAGCATCCAGAAGCAAAAGCAGACACATAACTGAGGCCAGATGAAAGCAAAGCTCTGTGTTAAACTGTTTTGCTTGCTGTATATTAACATCTCTTACAATCTTGATACATACATTTTTTCCATAAAATCATATTGTGTCTTATCATGGGTCAGGTGGTTTTAGGACTGAAATAGACCTGTGACTCAAATCCAGAGGTGTCTCTCAGGGGGGCTTTAGGGAGCTTTTTTGTTAAGACCAAGGGGACAAGCTTAGAATCTGCTATCAAAATGGACTGAAATCTCCCAGTAGATACACCCTGACCCTGGGATTAAGCTCTGATCCTGCCTCCTGAGCCGGGCCAAAAAGAATTGGGTGGTACATTTTCAAGGACAGTTTGACAGTAAACAATGCAGCAGAGCTATTTCAGCTCAGGATCCTGTACCTCCCATACCAGTTTGCATGGTTCCTATACACTCAAAGCAGAAATGTTTTTCTCAATGCTTTGGGTTCATATCTGAAAAAGGTGTCTTGGTTAGACTTGAAATGCATAAATTGACTCACTCATGCTTTTTGCTTCGCTCCCTTCTATGGTGAGCAGCCTCTGTTGGTTCTGATCTAGCCGATCTCCCGCTCGGCCTGGAGGAAACACACAGAGCAAATGATGCAGGTTGGTCTGTGAAAAGGGCTGTGCTCGTTGCAGCCGTGGGGATTCACTGCAACAAGAAATCTCACATCATGAACACAAACATGAATATAAATCTTTGTTAAAGGTGGTGCATGTGCAAGAACTTCATACATTGATCAGAACAAACCTACAAACAGCTTTTAATGTTCTAGCAAAGCTTTCATCTTTTATTTTTCCAATTGCTATTTCATACTTCCATTTAGATTTTATTGTTCTCTACAGTTTTTTTGCGTGGTTTTGCACTTCATAACGCAGTGTTGAAAAGTGCTAAAAAATAAATCCTTGAAAACACAACAGCAAACAGACCGATGCACGTAAAAACAAGTGCTCGATGCAAACCAACAGAGAAGACAAGCAGTCACATATTTTGTCTGATACAGTATCATTACAGACGGATGAAATGTGAAACAGGAAGTGGTGATGGGACACTTCCTTCCTTCATGTATGGTTTTTATGACTTTAAATGACACAAAGTGAAATAATCCCTCAGAGCAGCAGTGTTGAAAAGCTTTCAGGCTTTTATACCTAATCCATCATTGAACCAATCCAAACACTGTTCCCTCTACATCTCCTTGCTCATGTGTCACAACTCATCCCCCAGCCCCCCCCCCCCCTGCCCTCATCCCTAAGCTACTCCTGTCAGACAGAGGTACTCGTCCCTCAGGCTGATAACAGATACTAAGCTGTCGTTATTTCCTGCGGTCTAATCATGAAACTGTCGCTCAGCGTCCCATTCCTGGACACAAACAAACAAACAAACAGTAGCAGAAAGCATGCAACAATTAGCATTCATTTACTGAGACAGAGGGGCCGGGGTGTCTGTCCTGTGAGTGTAGAGATCCTACTGGTTCCCTGAACACCACTACATCTCAGTACATTCTTTATGACTACTATTTTTTTACTTTTGGTGGTATACTTCAGGCTGAGCCATGGTACTCATCATCTCTATGAACAGATACATTTGTAGTAGTTTCGACCAGTCGGGTAGAAGCAGGTTTGGTTGGATGCAGGTCTGCGTGGAGAACAGAAGGTATTGCTAAAGTAAATCCAAATCCATCTCTGGCAACATAGTGGAGAAACAAGGAATTCCTCCAATACTGTATGTCGTCAAAGTATGATAATTCCATGGAGTTCTGTGGCGCTACGTTGTTTTTGTATCTGCAGGAAATCCATTTATAGAAAACTCTGGTTCACAATGATTTCCTTCATTCACCTCAATTAGACCCAATGAAATGGGCTTTCCTCTGGAAGGAGGACCGAGCAAAGCTCCGAGCCGATGGGATTGACAGAAAAGGCTTCATACTTGTTCTCTTTAATCGCTCCTCTGTTGGCAGATCCGGCCTCCTGCCCCGCTGCCACTCAGCCACGTGGCTCCAGACATTAGACACAACAATGTTATCGGCCTTCTCCGGCTCCATTGTGTGAGACGGGTGGGAGGAGAACACGGCTTTTCTCGAGATAATGGAAGAAGAAAATTAACTCAGAGGAAGTAAAGTGTCAATACGTGTAAGTTTGAGTTTTGTATTATGCTCATTCAAAAACCTTGTTTACCTCATTATAGACTGTCTGAATCACATACACAGGGACCAGGGCCCCGTTCCTCGTACGTGGCTAACTGAGTTAGCCGGATCATTTTCAGGATAAGATTACATAGATCAGGCTTTTCGGTTCAAGGAAGCAAAGTTGGCCAAAATCACCATAGCAACACAAAATCCGAGAGCGCAAATCAGGTCCATGCATGCAAAAACGGACTTTTTATCTTTTTTCTTGCGGGAAATGGCCCTCTATAGTTCTGGGAGTGCATTAGCCAATCCAAAGACGAAGTTTGTAACCAATTACACGGAGTGACACCATGGTGACTGGATCTGCGCCCTTACTGTTAAAAAAGAAAAAAAGCGAGCGAGTGAGCACAGAACATAGCGATTTCCACGCGCACATAGACCTGATTTGCTGATTAACAAATTAGCCACAGCCGCACTACACCTCACTAACACTACAAGTTATACATATTATTATTATTATTATTATAAGTGAATTACTATGGTTCACCTGAATCAGTAGTAACAGATGCCTGGAAAAAACATCAATCTGAAGACTGACGGGATGTTTGGTAAATGATCCGCTGTTAACATGAACAGTCATGCAAAATCAACTTGGCAGAGGCTCTGCCTCTGTTGGAGCTGCTACGTCAGCCTCTCGTGCTGCCCTCAGCAAACCCCCTCAACAAGAACAGAGCACTTGGACACCAGCCATCAGTGGTAACCAGCAACTGAGCCGACAGTGTAGAATGGATTTGGGAGCCTTTTTCAGGTGCTTGTGGCGAGTTACAATCATAGCCTGAGAGGGAGAACAACATCAAACAGCTGTCACAGGACTCCTTTAGTGGCCTAATGCAGATGGATCGACCCGGAGGAGATGCAGACAGCAGGGAGGGGGAAACGGTGGCCTTAGATGTGTGATGTGGACAAAAAAATAGAAAACAACTTTCTTGAACGTTGTCGGCAGCACAGGGCTTCCTTCAGAATCAGAATCAGAAGCCGTTTACTGCCACATATGTTAAACGTAGAGGAATTTGTCTAAGATAAAGAAAATATAAACAGATAAGTATGTTAAAACAAGTATGTATGTACATATCTCCATGGGGAGAGAAACCACTGTGCAAATGTTACGGGGGTGGAGTATTTGGGTCACTGGGCGACTCAGACTTGGTTAATGAGACCAACTGGTGATGGGAAGAAACCGTTTCTGTGGCGGGGCGTCTTGGTTCCGATGGACCGCAGCCTCCTGCCAGAGGGACGGGGCTCAAAAACACACACACAAACTCCATTTTCTCCCCTGAAATTTTATTCTGAGAGGAGCAGAAATTGGAGCCTGGCAGGCCAGATAGTGACATATTGATAGCCCCGGGGAAGGTGATGAGTCAGTGGATGAGAGGGGACACACCTGGAGACACTGCAGGGAAGAATATCACAATCAAATCCCCAAATGTACTCTTGTTACCTGTAATTCTATTTCCCGCTGTGAATGTTATTGTTTCATTTCATTTAGTTTAATTAAGGGCACCTGGACGAATGTGTGAGTTGGACCTATGCGCTCGCCTTCCTGGCACCGCTGGTCTTTAGGTGGATCTTCGCATAACGATTGTGTCGTGTCGTGTAATAAACCGTCACCCTCCTCATGTTGCAATTAGTGAGTTTTTTAAGCCGACAAAGACGTTGAGATTTAGCTTGTTGCGGTTTAGCCAGATCAGAACGAGTGTGTCTTAGGTAGAGAGGAAACCAGGTCAGTTGGAAATGTTCATTCCTCATGGTTGTATGTGCTGCCCTTTGTTCTTCACACATGCTGTACACCGGGGAAGTAGTGAGAGTGGAGAAATGGAGTCTTGTTGGGCACACTAGATTTTGCTCAATACTAAAAACGGATTACTAATTTGGCCGGTAGATAGAGCTAACATTTAATAATTGAACTGCCAAGAATCAATCAGTTGAGTATTGTTCAAAAGAGTAAATGTAATTGAAACCAATAGAAAAAGTGACATTTTGACTTTGAACAAGTCTATCGCAGAATGAAGACATTTCAGTAAGTCGGCTCGATTCAACCAGATCATTGCCTGACCTTTTCAGCTTGGCAGGTACAAACAGAATGCTTATTAACCGGCATCTCTCCGGAAGCTTCTCCTCTATATTTACTTCACTTTTCACAGGCTCTCGGAGCTCCATGGAAATGTGACATTTGCAGTAGGTTACAAAATAATCATAAAAGAATCTGCCTAATGTAACTGCAAACCCATCACATTCAATCCTAACAGGGCAGATATGAATAAGGCTGGAAGGCTGGGGGGGGGGTGGGGGGGCTCATATTGTCTGTAAAGGTGATGCAAGCAGCAATGCACAACAACATGATTGGGAAAACTATTTAGTCTGGGCTTGTTCTCACACTTTTTATTTCCATGTCAGCGTAATGTGGAAGAACAGAGTAAGCGCATTCATTTCAATGAGGCAGAGCAGCGGCGGTGTGTCGGTCTACAGAATGGACGGACATGGACCAATAGGCTCAGCTGATGCTAATCAAATGAGAACATGAAGAAGGAGGGCTGAACCAAATAGCTCAGAGCTTCCTCATGAAGTCCAATTATTTATCGTTAACATTATCATTATCGTCATCAGTGCTGCTGTCCGGCTGCACAACCAGCTCTGCTCCAAGTAGACAAGAAATCCCCTAAAACCTGTGCAGTATAACCACTTATAATAGTTTTTCATTCAGTTACTGTCAACTTGTTTTATTTTTATTACTGCTTATTCCTAATAGTTTTTGCGTTTGAACTTTATTCTTCCATCCATCCAACGTCATAGCACATTAACAGAATAGCGTTAGTGGTCCCGGGATCACGGGACAAGGGCCCCTCCCTGCTTCCCAAGAACATTTCCACAGGCTCTCAAATCTTTATGACGGCTTCATTTTTCTGTGTGGGCCCAGGCGGTAGCTGGAGGGGCCGGGGGGTCAATGCGGTATCAATGCCACAGGCTAATACACACACTCCTTGACACGTTTGTGGTGTTGACAGCCAACTATTCAAAGCAGCGTAATGCCCTCGCCACTGGTGGCCAAGGAGAAGTGGCGGCCTTCCTGAAGGTAAAGCAATTAAGTGGATTATCTCCTCCATACTGCGTGTGGGGAGGGGGCCAGGCAGAGACGATGCTTGGGTAGCGTATTTTGTGAGTGGAGCCTCAGGGCCAACAACCACAGGAGTCATTTAGGAAATAAAGCTCACGTCTTTAACTCAAGGTCACATCCAAGACATCGGAAAGCAGATAAAAACCTCTAACGGTTCCTGTAAAACAGACTTTCACCGGTTTTCATTCCCATTGTCGTTCCCACTCAGGCAGGCACAGCTGAACTGGATGGAGTGACGGGGCGAAAATATACCGTGGAACAACAAGACCTTTTCCAT